ATCATATGATCTCACTGATATGAGGAATTCTTAATCGCAGGAAACAAACTGAGTGTTGTTGGAGTGGGGGGTGGGGTGGGAGGGATGGGGTGACTGGGTGATAGACACTGGGGAGGGTATGTGCTCTGGTAAGCGCTGTGAATTGTGCAAGACTGTTGAATCTCAGATCTGTACCTCTGAAACAAATAATGCAATATATGTTAAGAAAAAAAGAAGAAGAAGGTAGCAGGAGGGGAAGAATGAAGCGGGGGAATTCGGAGGGGTGGACGAACCATGAGAGACGATGGACTCTGAAAAACAAACTGAGGGTTCTAGAGGGGAGGGGGGTGGGAGCATGGGTTGGCCTGGTGGTGGGTATTGAGGAGGGCACATTCTACATGGAGCACTGGGTGTTATGCACAAACAATGAATCATGGAACACTTCATCTAGAACTAATGATGTAATGTATGGGGATTAACATAAGAATAAAAAACAAACAAACAAACAAACAAATAAATAAATAAAATAAACAACAAAAACAACAACAAAACAAAACCTAAACCAAATAGTGTCAGGATATGATACAACTAGAACTCTCAGGCACTCTGCTTGTGGGTGTGTACATTGACACATCTACTCCTGAAACTGGTTTGAGATTATCTCCCAAAGCTGAACATACACATACTCTAGGATCCTATGATTCTACTTCAAGGTACATACCAAAAATGTGTACATATGTACTAGAATATACATAGCCTTGAACATTCATATTTGACAATACTTAGTCAAAACTTATGAACAGTTGAAATGTCCATTAACAATTGTGACGTATTCATATGGTGATCTACCATATAACAATTAAAATGAACAAAAGATTGTTACAGGTACAACATAGATGAGTATCACCAACAAAAAGTTAAATAAAAGAATTCAAACAAAAGAATACATACTATATGAATCCATTTACATAAAGTTCAAAGCAATCAAAACTATGGTTATAAAAATCAAAATGCTTTATTACTTTGGGGTAATGAGTGGAGGCCTGGTAGAAAGAGAGCTTCTGGGTACTACTAAATGTCCTATTTCTTGATCTGGGTGATAGTTATACAGGTGTGTTTTGTTTTGTGAAGATTCATAGAGCATACTCTTAAGATTTGTGCACTACTCTGTACATATGCTACCATACAATAAAAATTAACAAAAACAATAAAAGTAAATATATTAATCAGAAAGATGCATATCAGAAGAGGAATGAAGGACTAGAGCTAGTTTAGTGTGATTTTGGTACTTTCAGGGCCCAAAGAAATAAATGAAAAGACTTAGTGAAAGTATGTAAAATAGCTAAAAGATCCAGAGAAACTAAGCAGGTAGTTTCAAAGCAGGGAGAATGGATATTCACTCAAAAAGTACTCTGGTGATATTTCCTAAGAAAGTCTTTCTGCAAAGTCTCCCGGTGATGACACATGAAAGCAGCAGACAATGGTAAGTAAAGACTCATGGAGCAGACCCTGTTCTTTGGGGAAAAGATCATTTTCCTAACAACAGATCACAATGCTCAAAAGAATTTGAAATCTATGCTATATTATCAACTTGACTGTACTAACTAGGTAATGGGATAAAAACTTGAGATATGAAAAGAATGTGGTACTCCACCTATTCTGGTTATCTTTTGCTACCTAACAAACTACTTCAAAATTTAGTGGCTTAAAACAGTAACTTATTATCTCTCATGATTTTGTAGGTCAGAAATGCGGACAAGTCTCAGCTAAGCATTTCTTATGTTCCATGTCATATCAATAGCTATTACTCGGTGGTAGTTAGCCTGTGAAGGAGCTCACCTGGAGGGTCCAAGACAGTTTTACTTACACACTAATACCTTGGCCAGGATGGCTGGAAGACTGGCTGGGCTCAGCTAAAACTATTCATTGGAATGCTCACATGTATCCTCTCCAGAATGGCAGTCTCAAAGTAGTTGGATTTCATATAGAAGTTCAGGATTCATTACTAAAAAAAAAAAAGAAGCTCAGGATTCCCAGACAGTGTTCCCAGAAGTGAGCATTCCAAGTGGTCCAGCAGAAGCTGCAAGACTTCCAATGACCTAGCCTTTGAAAGTCTCCAAATTTCACTATCAAGGCTTTGTTTTGTTGGTCAAGCAAGTCAATTGGATGAGTCTAGATTCAAGAGGAGGAGGGTGAACCAAGCTATTACATGATGAGGAAACAGCATGCATATACAGAGAAGAAAGGAAGTGATGCCAGCCATCTGAGAGATATACTACCATACCACATCAGTTCCTTATTAGACTAAGTTCCTTGTTATACTAAGACATTCTTCATACTAAATTAGTGGTTTCTCAACAGAGAAAGTGCAAAGTATACAAAAAACAAGAGTCAAATTTTACCTTTAGGGTGAGGATGGATACCAACAACTGAGGATCAACCACTGGAAGGTGGCAACAGATGCCAACAAGGACAACTGAGAAATAGATGCCTTGCCCCTCTGGCGCTGGACACTGAAGGAAGTCCCCCAGAATACCTATGCATTTTCAGGGAGAATGGAAAGGAGAAAATCCTGATCAAATTGACAGATTATTTAATTGATTACATTTACCTTAAAGTGACAATGGTTACATTTGTACATTTGTGCTACTAGGCAGAATGGAATGGCACAGATTATTTTTAGTTGTAGGAAAATAAAATCTTTTTTTTTGAGCTTCTAAATCTGTGTGCAATTAAATTAATACTTATACAATTGCTTTAAGCTTTCGTTCCTATTGGTTTGATCATCTTAACTATTCATATGCCACAATTTAGGAATAGCTAACTCCGATGAGTAATTTTTCCTATTTCATTTTCCTGAAATCTTGATATTCTTCTTCTATTCTCATAGCAAAGACTAAATTGCCTTATCATTTGCTTCAATTCCATAGTCTTGATTACTTTTAAAATCAAATTTGTCTTAGACATAAAACATTTACTATTTTAAACACTTAGTTAATTTCTATTGACTCATATACTTCTCAATATTATACTCCTGAGATTGTCGAGTCCATTACTCCTGGAGGAGCCCCTAACATAATACCTTCTCAGGTTCATAATTATTTATTTTTGGAGAAGCTTTTGTCCTTGAGCAGAGTTATAATATTTCTTCAGAGACAATTGAGCAAATATCCATTGAGATAAGCCACCAGATATAAATAAAGCAAGAAAAGTACTTTTGAAGTACAGATAGAACTTCAAAGAGTAGAATTTCAAGATGTTAACATAAATTTGTAATTGCAGATTTATTCACCATAAACACATAAAATGCTTATAGACTTACCAAACACACCAACAACCAAGGCAGACACAAACACAGTGTGCATGTAGTCTTTTCACAAAGAAGTTCTGAGTCATCTTATTAATTTTAGTTTTCCTATTGGTCTATTCCATTTGTACTGCACCCAAAATTCTTGTAACTACCAGATACAGAGAAGGCTCTACTCATGCTCAAATGATCTCCCCTTACACTCTTGCTATCCTTCAGTTTATACTCAACCAAGAACCAGAGTGATCCATTTAGACATGTCAATGCATGTCAGTCCTCCAACAGAATAAACAGCATACTAAGAATAAATTCCCTTACAACAAAGTCCCTTACAACAGCAGACAAGATTCCTGTAGGATCTGGACCTCCATCGCCTTTCTGATCTCATCCACTATCTGTACTTCATTCACTTCACTTCAGCATCACAGTCATCCCCTTGCTGTTCCTGCATTCTATCAGATATGTACTCCTCTGACTGTGACAATCTGAGCCCGGATTTCCAACATAGTTGATCCCTTTACCTTTTATCAAATCTTTGCTCAAATGCTCTTTTCTTTTTTTTTCATAGTAGCATTATTTTTTTTGTTTTTTGTTTTGTTTGTTTTTTTATTTTATTATGTTACGTTAATCACCATACATTACATCATTATTTTTTTTAATTTTATTATATTATGTTAATCACCATACATCATTAGTTTTTGATGTAGTGTTCCATGACTCATTGTGTGTAACACCCAGTGCTCCACGCAGAATGTGCCCTCTTTAATACCCATCACCAGGCTAGCCCCTAGAACCCTCAGTTTGTTTCTGAGTCCATAGTCTCTCATGGTTCCTCTCCTCCTCCAATTTCCCCCCCTTCATTTTTCCCTCCCTACTGTCTTCTTCTTCTTCTTTTTTTTTTTTTAACATATAATGTATTATTTGTTTCAGAGGTACAGGTCTGTGATTCAACAGTCTTACACAACTCACAGAGCTCACCATGCTCTTTTCTTAATGAGAACTTCCCTTAAAAATTTCACCCACCAGATGCATTATTTTTTTCCATAGCACTTATCACCTCATAACATACTACATAATTGTCTATTTATTTTTATTTTCTATACCCATCTATCAAAATGTAAACTCTATGAGGAAATTTTTTTCTCTGTTTTGTTCACTGATGTACCACTAACCCCTATAACTGCTTGGCACATAGTATGCCATCAGTAAACATTTGTTGAATGAATAAATGATGGCATAGGTTATAGGTATTATTACCAAAAAAAAAAAAAAAATGGTAGGCATCAGTTATGCTGCCTCTTTTGGATATGTCTCATTTTTAACTACTAACATCCAGAACTTTGCTATCCATAGTGGCATAGCAAATCTGTCCATCCTACCCCCAATACTTCTTATTACTACCTTCATCCTTTCTAAGGGACCATGACAGCCATTAAATATTCCTGGAAAACTAGTCTTAGGTCATGACTTCTACTTTAGACAATTATGAGAATGATATTTCTCTGTGCATGTGTAAAATGATATTACTGATACTATTGCCTAGGATTACTTTAAGATAAGCATCAAGATGTTTTATGTTTGTGAGGGCAAAACAACTGGTTAAAATTTCTTTAATAACTGTAATGAGTGGAAGGGAATGATAGTTTGAGACCAGGAATAGAGAAAATCAGCCATACAATATTAAGAGATTTGCAGAACTCAGATCTTCTTTCTTCATGAACATCCTGATCCAAATTTAAGGCACAAGAGGACAGTCAAGGAGAAAGACCTAACAAAGAAAAATAAAAATCTTATGACACTAAAACCAATGGCTACATGCAGCTGTAAAACACTGAACTCAATAAAAATAACAATTTAAATTAAATTAAAAGTCTCAGAGAATAGGTTTAAAAAGTAGGTATCTCAAGAAATAACATTACAAGCCAATGACCTAGAACATTACATGGGGCTAATACCAGATTTCTTAAAGTTCATATATGACAGCATTCTTCAAAATCAAGACTTCTTGAGGAAATGTTTGATGAGCACAATCAGACTCCCAGCGGCTTACAAACCACCTGCTCTTTGTACCTGGATGAGCTGGGGGGAAAAAATGCTGCTGCATAAGTTTAAAAAAAGGTATGTTCAGTGTTCTATTTATTTATTTTTTTATTTAAATTCAATTAATTAACATATAGTGTATTATTAGTTTCAGAGGTAAAGTTCAGTGATTCATCAGTCTTATATAATACCCAGTGCTCATTACATCACGTGCCCTCCTTAATGACCATCACCCAGTTACCCCATCCCCCCACGACCCTCCTTTCCAGCAACCCTCAGTTTGTTTCCTATGATTAAGAGTCTCTTATGGCTTGTCTCCATCTCTGATTTCGTCTTGTTATAGTTTTCCCTCCCTTCCCCTATAATCCTCTGTTTTGTTTCTTAAATTCCACATATGAGTGAGATCATATGATAATTGTCTTTCTCTGACTGACTTATCTTGCTTAGCATAACACCCTCTAGTTCCATCCACATTATTGCAAATGGCAAGATTTCATTTTTTGATGGCTGAGTAGTATTCCATTGTGTGTGTGTGTGTGTGTGTGTAATATATATATATATATATCTCACATCTTCTTTATCCATTCATCTGTAGTTGGACATCCAGGCTCTTTCCATATTTTGGCTATTGTGGATGTTGCTGCTATAAACATTGGGGTGCACATGCCCCTTTGGATTACTACATTTGTATCTTTGGGGTAAATACCCAACAGTACAATTGCTGGGTCATAGGGTAGCTCTATTTTCAACTTTTTGAGGGACCTCCATACCGTTTTCCAGAGTTGCTGCACCAGCTTGCATTCCACTAAAAGTGTAAGAGGGTTCCCCTTTCTCCATTCAGTGTTCTATTTAGCACACCTCAACACATCTACTCATTTCATCCAGCTTTTTGGGAAACCAAGAAGAAAAATCGTTTTAAAAGGAGTTCTTCATACTCTTTCAAGGGAGAATACAGAAACAGAGGGCAAACTATGCAGGTGGAATTGCCAGGCATAAACAGTCTCCCAGTATTTTCTTCTAACTGACCTGACACATTCTAAGTTTAATGTATAAATGTTTTATCTTGCATAAAACACTCATAGAAAAGGTAATAGTTCTTCCATACCCTTCCCCTGCTTTTATGTCTAGATCAGCTAGCTGGTAATTGTGATGTTCATTGTGTCAAAGTCATAAAAAAAAAGGCAAGAGTTTGGAAGAAGATTGGATTAGTTCCTATATAATCTGGTATTGCAGCTAAAGAAAAGTGGTAGAAGTCTTCAAGGTCAAGAAGCCCATAAAACAGAGTCCATCTGGATCAAAAATTTAAATTAGCAAAACACCCTAGACTCTCTATGGTCTTAGTAATTAGGCAGTGAGTGCTGCAAGAGCTTCCTGGGGCAAAAAGAGGAAAAGAAAAGAAAAAGAAATAGAAAAAGAAAAACAAAAGAAAAAGGAAAGGAAAGGAAAGGAAAGAAAAGAAGAGAAAAGAAAAAAGGAAGGAAGGAAAAGGAAAGGAAGGAAAGGGAAGGGAAAGAAGGGAAAGAAGGGAAAGGAAAGGAAAGGAAAGGAAAGGAAAGGAAAGGAAAGGAAAGGAAAGGAAGAAGAAAAATTGGGGGGCAGTGGAAGAAGGATTTGTTCCTAAGTCCTGCAGCTCTCATCCCCACCATAATGGCTAAAATTTAAAACACTGACAACACTAAATCTTTTTTTTTTTTAAGATTTTATTTATTTATGTGAGACAGAATGAGAGAGAGAGAGAGAGCACATGAGAGGGGGGAGGGTCAGAGGAAGAAGCAGGCTCGCTGCCAAGCAGGGAGCCCGATGCGGGACTCGATCCAGGGACTCCAGGATCATGACCTGAGCTGAAGGCAGTCGCTTAACCAACTGAGCCACCCAGGCGCCCGACAACACTAAATCTTAGCAAGGATGTAGAGCAACTAGAAATCTCATATATTGTTGATAGGAATGCAAAATGATACACACACTGTGGGAAAAAGCTTGGCAGTTTCTTAAAAAACTGAACAAACTTCTCCTCACCCATGACCTAATAACTCCACTCTAGATATCTACTTAATAGAAATGAAAGCATATGTTTATGAAAACACTTGTACAACAATATTCATGACATTCTTATTCATAATGACCCAAAACTAGAAAAATCCAGGGTCCATCAATAGGAGAATGAATAAATAATCTTTGATATATCTATACAATGGAATACAATTTGGCAATAAAATGGCAATTAACTACCAATACATGCAACAACTTAGCTCTCAAAAACGTTATGATAAGTGAAAAAAAATGTCAGACACAAAAGACTACATATTGTATTCTTCCATTTATGTGACATTCTAGAATAGGAAAAACTAATTTATGGTTGAAAAAAAATTAGAAAAGTATTTTCCTCTGGGGATACAGGTAGGATTTGACTGGAAGGGTCGTGAAGGAATTTTCTCAGGTGGTGATATCTTGATATGCGTTTGGTTTAAACAAGTGTATTCATTGGTCAAAAGTCAGTGAATGTAGGGCACCTGGGTGGCTCAGTCAGTTAAATATCGGACTCTTAATTTCAGCTCAGATCATGATCTCAGGGTTCTGAGATCAAGCCCCACATTGGGCTCCATGCTTGGTGTGGAGTCTGCTTAAGATTCTCTCTCTCCCTCTCCCTTTGCCCTTCTGCAACCTCTCTCTTTACCTCTCTCTCTCTCAAAACAAAAACAAAAACAAAACACCTCAGTGAATATGCTGTTTGTGCATTTTATTGATATAAATTTTATATCAAAAGAAAAATAGTAATTCAATATTGAATTCTAGTTAATAATATTCATGCTGAAATGTTTAGGGAGAAGTATGCTGATATCTGCAATTTACTTTGAAATGCATCAAAAAGATAAGATGAATTAAAGGAGGGATAAAGGGATATATAAAATGTGATAAAATACCTATAGGACAATATAAATAATAGAATTTGGGTTGTGGTTATATATAGGGTGGTTTTTCACTGTATAATTCTTCCAATATTGCTATATGTTTAAGGAAAATCATAATAAAATGTTTTAAAACTTAGCATCTCAGCCCCTACCATGCCTGATAAGATAAGCCCTTCTGGATTAAAGATCCTTGCAATCAACTGCATTTCTTAGGATGGATGAACCTGAAGAAAGACTTGAAGGAAGACCCCCAGCAGTTTCTTTTGATCCCCAGTGACTTGTTTTAGGTTAGATGAACTCTTGGTCACAGGAACTCTGACATCCAAATATGATAAGAATAGAAATATACTTCCTCCAGAAGAAGGATGACATATAAGTAGACTTTTAGACTCACTGGCCTTGTGATTGCAAAGTTTTACATAAATTCATATGATGAATGTTTAGATGTAGGAATTATTTCAGCCTCATTGCAATTTTATCTTTCTGTTCTCCTTGTAAAAAAATACACTGAAATTTATTTCAAGTATCCTTATAAAAGTAATAAAATAATGTAAAAACTATCATAAAAACAGTCATATATTTTATAGAAAATAGCAGCATAAAATCACTTTTTGAGAGACGTCAAAACCGAAGAAATTTATGACTTAAGAAAAGCAACATTCTACTCTTTGAGCATCTAATCTGTTCAACTTATATTCTTACAGGATTAGAAAGTCATTTTATTATTGCCAATTTGAAAAGACTCTACTGATCACTGGTCATACTTATAGAAACCTTCAGCATAAATTCTGTTAACAGAAAAAATCTTTTTAATAATTGTCTATGTCTCATCTTTTCCATTATGTTTACTTAGATTCTATTTCTCCACACCTGCCAAAACAAAACAAAATACTCCAGTTTCCTATAACCATATCCTTTGAAACCAGTTATATTATGACATACTAAGATCTATTAATTTTGGCCCAAAACAGAAATGTAAACAAAAGAAATCTAAAGATCACAGGGCACCACAAATTGAATATAATCCAGGAATTCAATATGCGTCTTAAAAAATAAGTGCTCTCTAGGAATGAAGTAACGAAAGCATAATGAGGTAGAATGAAACATTAACTCAATTCACTCAGTGGGACTCTGTCAAGATAAAGATTCAATAGGGGTTTTAGAGAAATAAAAAACTAGAATATATTCCTGAGAAGTCTCCCAAAATAATACTAAAAGAATGGAATTTAATGGAAAAAAATGAAAAAAGTATTAGGCAAGAAAACTGAGAAAATTGGTGAGCATCTGTCCTCCATCTTCACTGAAACAGAACAAGATGGAACCATCTACAGAAGAAGGTTAAGGAAGGGAGAACACTCGTTCAATGGCCCCTTTTCAATCTTTAGTGAACTTAATGTTTCTGGAACACTGTACACCATCAATTACTCCCTTCCTTATGAAGATCCTCCTCTCTTTCCTGTACTACTCTCTATTCTTATCCTACCTTGCTTGGCTAGTCATTCTTTTTATCCATGGTTTCAAAGTCATAAGAGGAAGATAAGAGTTGAAAATGGACTGGGTTAGGGGCGCCTGGGTGGCTCAGTTGGTTAAGCGACTGCCTTCGGCTCAGGTCATGATCCTGGAGTCCCGGGATCAAGTCCCGCATCGGGCTCCCTGCTCAGCAGGGAGTCTGCTTCTCCCTCTGACCCTCCCCCCTCTCATGTGCTCTCTCTCTTTCTCTCAAAAAAAAAAAAAAAAGAAAAGAAAAAAGACAAAAAAAGTCTATTTCTAGGGCACCTGGGTGGCTCAGTTGGTTAAGCGACTGCCTTTGGCTCAGGTC